CGAATTCAGATTACTGGGCTTCGCTGGCTAGGGCACGTATTGCGTATGCCCAGCTGTCGTCTGCCGCACCGCGCTTTATTCGCTGTAGCTAATCCGGACTGGACGAAACCACGTGGAGGTCAACAGATGACGTGGAGACGAGGCATGAAGAAATGCACAGAAGCATTAAGCAGAGTAGGTGTCTCTCGCCTTCCAGGTTGGGGTCCGAAAGACTCCACAACTGGTTGGTTGGGGACATTGATGGATGTGGTAGAGAACCGACAGCAATGGTGTTCTTGTTGCCATTTGTTATCTGCTCAGAGTGCTCGAAACAGTATGCATCCACAGTTAGGTTTTGCACTGCGTTGATCTTAGAGGTTCCTCTTCTCCCTCTGTCAATATGGGTTCAATCCCCGTTCTTAAATTTTACCACTAACCTTGTATGCATTGCGAATTTGGCAGCGATCAGTGAGGTTCGCTTCACTGTATTTCGCTGTAGGATGATGATGATGATGACTGATCTGTATCAGGAGGAAGTTAGTGATTGCTGCATCGTGTCTTTTGGTGCTGATTGAATGGATGAAAAGAAAATTATTTTTCACAAATTCGCATCTATAATGCAGTTTGTGAAAACGATTGAAGAGCAGTTAGAAGGGTCAATTGAGTAAACATTGAGGCGTACAGGTACGAGTTAATGTTACTATGACCTGGGAATACGCTGAATAAATACGGTACATTTAGTCAATTGTTAACCAAATTTTTTTGTGAACCCTCAAGTCCCTTTGGTCTGTGATTGAATACGCTAAATTGCATGGCCATGTTAGCTTGAAGTTGTGTAACGGTAGCTTTTGTTTGCACAGCTATGGCTAGTGAATTGAGATTTCGTCTACCTCTGTCATGTATAATGTGATCAGTCTCGTTGTCCTCGCCAGGTTTACTGGAACACTGCAGACGACCCTAGGTGACCTTTCAACGCTCATTGTAGCCTTTGCTGATGAGGTTTACTGCACCGGAGCTCCGAATAGTTTACTTTTTTAACCGTGCCAGATGGTATCCTCGGATCAGTCCAGTCAACTTCCGACCGATGCCATTGACTCTGCCGGAACAGATCAGCTTATAGATATTGATTAATGTGATTGCTAGTCGCAATCGATTATATATATATATATATATATATTTTACACGTAGTCAATTACATAGAATTGGCAGATGTGCCACAACATATGAAGAAAGAGATGTGAAAACGGTTTAAATGTAAATCAACAAATAAGAGTCTCGCAATAGGTGCGCCATTCACGCCGGTTACCAGCCATGTCTGCAAGTGTATCAAGCCATAGATGTTCTCTGTCCGTTGACCCCCAACCTGGGAGTCTTGAGCGCCCTACCACTGCCAGTTTTGAGGTTAGCGCCTTCATTGTTCGAACCCAGGTTCGTCACTGTCCACCGTGTCGCCGCTCCTACTTAGTGTACGCTTGCGCAAACGTAATACGATAGGGCAATCGTTGAGCCGGCCTCCGCAACACATATCCTAGCCAACGAAATCTCTGGAGCGAGATGACGGCACTCAGAGGACGACTGAGATTGTCTGCAGTGAAGATTCTTCGGCGGACCTCGTCGTTGATGATTCGCTGTTGCCAACGTATTCTAGCGATGCAACGAAGGCAACGGTGGTCAAAGACACTTAATCTTCAGTCTTCTACGTGGAGGTGCCAGCTCTCACAGCCGTAGGGTAGGACAGAGAGTACTGTTGCATTGTAAACGTGGCCTTCCAAAGAGAGACTAAGATCGCGTCGGTGCCATGAATGACGTAGGTCAGCGAAAGCCACTCGAGCCTCGCGGATACGCGCTGATATTTCTTCCATCAGTCCTCTTGAGCTGAAGCAATGCCCGAGATGATTAAAGTGATCGACGATTTCCAACTGGTCGTTCATAAGTGTGAGGACAGGTGTAGCCTCTTGCCAGTCTTGTAGTAAAACCTTACATTTCGATGGTGAAAATGTCATACCAAACTTTGTGACGGACGATGCTAACTAACGCCGGACGTTTTGAGCGTCCTGGGAGGAGTTTCGAAGTAAAAGGATGTCGTCAGCATATTCCAAGTCACGGAATCGATCACCTGGGAAAAGCTTCGCACCAGGAGCACTATTTAGGATTTTGTTTATTACGAAATTAAACAGGAAGGGTGAAGCTAGGCAGCCTTGTCAAACTCCGCTTGTGATGGCAAATGAAGGATGGATGCGATCATAGTCCTTGACGCGGCCTGATGTATTTGAGTAGACGGCTTTAAGAAGGCTTACATACTTCTCATGCACCGCTTCCTAACAGACAAATCCAAGGAGGTGCTCGCTTCACTGTATTTCGCTGTAGGATGATGATAATGATGAACCCCAAAAATCGANCGAAATGACGTAATTTTTCCCCTTTTGTTAGGTCAAAAGTATGATGAATTGTCAAATGCCAACCCGCCTCAATTTATCTTCAGTGACCAGATAGATCGAAAACCGTCTGTCAGATACCTTGACGTTATTTTCAGCCGTAACCTCACATGGTCTGACCGCGTCAGTGACGTTTTTCTAAAAGTCAGGAGGCTCAGGTTTGATGCATCACGTCTTAAATCACTTTCTATCCTAAATCATCTCATNTGCATTTTTCCCCGCTGGCTTAATGGGTTCCGTGTTATCTTCCCCAATCTTTTTAACACGGAGCTCAAGTTCATTTCCTGGTCGCTCAAGTTTCTGTCCGAATGTAGTCTGATACCACGGGAACATCCCGTACAGCATATGGTGGCACACCACTTCCGGTTTTGTAAAACATTCAATAAAATTTTATCTGATATTTCCCATCCCATTTATTCTGCTCTTAGTCAGCGCCTTCCTTGTTCAACCAACCGCTCCAATCATGAACTTATAGATTCACGCACTGGCTTACAGGCGCTCTATTGTACTGTATCTCGCCATGTTTTTTTACAAACCATAAAGTCGTTGCAGTAAATCTGCGCAAAATGCTAAACTAAACCAATCATGCACACAGTTATGTTGGTTCTTTTGTTGTTTCTGTTTCGCTTTTTCCTAAATTTTTGATACGCTGTAGTTATGTAGTTGCTGAATATCCACCCCTCAATATAGAGCTATTCCTTGACTGTACTTGACTTGAGTTTATCGTAAAATTCGTCTTTTTGTGAAGTGGGACTTCAGCTGGTTGGTGCATATGCGGAACTAATGAACAAACACCTTTTAGTGTTGCTGTCCTGCTGAACACTAACTGCACCCTGGAGTCTCATAGCACACTAACGACTGTTTACGAATATCCAGTCTATCAAAGAGGCCTCAGCTTAACTGCTTAGTGCGATTCCCATACCACGCTGACCCAGTGAGCGAGCTTCATCGTCTTCTGATATGCAAAGGAACTACCTTGAGGACAGAACCGGCGCACTCAGGTGACTTATAATACCAGGATCCGGTATCAGTGTCTCCAATACGCATCAGGCATCCATTTCTAAAGACTGCATTGTACGCTCTTTGACCCACCTGCATCCAAATCTTCACGTTGAAGGGCTCCAAATTCAGAGGTTGATGAGGCTTCAGAATCTGTACTTTATTTACAGTCATTGGCACGAATGTTATATAACCTGCCTGTCAGTATCCGTTGCCCCGTGAAAAAGATAAAGAAACAACAAGAAACCCAAAAATCTACAGTGAAGCAAACCAGAAAATATCGGTGTTGTCGTTTTTCTCTATATTTTTTTTCTTCTCATTTTCCCCATTGGTACACAACTACCTCCATTGCTATCGCATTGCATCCATGTTTGTTCGCAAGCACGGTCACAAACAAGTGCCTCGGTGTCTGCGTGACCCCCAAATCTTCATGTTCCGAAAAGGCCCATATCGAAGTCTTAGCTATACTTCTACTGTGTTCACTATAACCAACGTCCTATAGTAATCTGTAATTTTTAACCACTGGTTTTATCTGCATCAGTAAACATATACATACGTTAGTGCTTTGTAATATTTTACGTCCAGCACCTTTGGTGTATTATGAATTATTTTGTCATAATCCTTCCCGTTTTGGTTTTCCTGATCGCATTCAAATTTGGCTGCCTGTAAACTCTTATTGGGGCAGGGAACAACGCCGTTTGGATGCAACAGTCACTTTGTTCACTCAGTTTTGTGACATTTTTTCGACATGCTCTTTTTATAGATCATCATCTCATTAGCCGTCGGTATCGGTNTGTAGAGAATGTGATCAGAACTGTTGGGTTCACGGAATGTGAATTAACAATCATTGTCATAACTGACGGATCTGGAGCCGTCACTGTTCTCCTCAATTCCAGTTAAAGGTCACGCACGCACCCGAATGTTATCCGGTGTGTATAATTTTTTTTAGCAAGAGGCTTAGTTTTTTTTCGATGTTTACAGAGTGGCTCATATTCCTAACACCAGTCCGTTTCAAACTCTGGATTGTATTATAGTGTACGGTCTATCTGATACTAAGCAACAAAATGTACCAGAAACCTTTTTATTGGCTCCTCTTCTCAATTCGTCACTGTAAATTTGTCCATAAAGGCAAAAGAAAATGCGGATTACTAAGAGAATTAAGNCAAAGCAAATATTCTTTTTGTAAATGATCCAGATCCACCGAAATGGCTATCGTACGGATCCATTACACATTAAAATGACGTTTTTAATTCGCCTAATGTATTAGCAGCAGTGATGCTGATGAACCTGATTATCCAAAATAATTTGCAAAGTGAGTATTCGAATAATAACCAAAATATTGAATCTGTGTTTAGGCATGGTTGGATAGAATACAGAAAAAGATAGAAAGTTCCGAGCTTTTGAAGTTCCTAAACAACTATGGAAATCTGTGAGTTCAGTGTTGTCATCGCACTTATCATCTCGATACTGAATTCCCAAACAATACCTCAGTGAGTAATGGAGGATTTGGTTAAATTTCAAATGGGAATTTGTCGTGTATATAGCAAATGAAGCGTGGACTGAAGGGCTCGGAAGCACTGGACAGCTGTTTCGACCCGGTTGGGTTTCATCAGCAGTGCGACCCGACTGGGGATCGAACCCGTGACCTCATGGGCAGAACGCAAGCGTGCTACCCATTCGGCCACCGGGCGGCTGGTCAGACCGTTTTTCATTTTCCATTTACACGATATAGCACAGCCCATCTTTGAAAGTTTGTTGCGGGCCACGGTCCTTGCCCGGGTTCGATCTCCAGTGGGGTCGATGGATTCGCACTGCTGATGAGACCCAACCAAGTTGAAGCAGCTGTCCAGTGGTTCCGAGCTTTTCAGTTCACGCTTCATTTGCTATATACACGACGAATTCCCATTTGAAACACAACAGATAATGAGCACAGCTAGAAACTTGCAGGAATCTATTTGTTTCACCTAATGCATACTCATTTGTCAAATAGGAGGAAAAACAAGAAAACGCATGTAGATGGTGAATGGTCGATCATACCAGTGTCAAACGTTTGGCTTGGCTGTGGATTCTTCCCGGTTATCATCAATCGGATTGGTCATCTCGAAATAAAGTAGAGGTGTATACCGATTCCCTGACATGTTGCAACTGCCCACCGCACTTAATAACAAGAAAGAGCAGACAGGAAGTGAAAGAAACAGTTCATTCGAACAAGAAACCGCTAGCAAGTGATGCATAAGAACAGTATGTACAAGTTGCCTGATTTTATGAAACAGAAGAAAAATCGTTGCAGAAGAGCGTTGTGGTGTAGATAGATTCATATTTACCAGAGAAATGAGATTGTTCGAAACTATACGGGCGACAAACAGAAGAGCGCTGAGGAAGTTTTACGCCGAAAAATGGTTAAGTCAAAATCAAAGAATATAATGGGGGAGACACTCACATTGTTTACGGTGCTGACTTCCGAACGATACGTATGTGGATTGCTGTCAGTGTGTTTCCGTAATGTTTTTTATGCAACGCCTTCGTTCAGTTTCCTTGTTCTTGCTACATTTTTTATCGTACACTTCTAACTTTGTTTGACAACACAAACACTGTACCCCCATAGTCACGTGGACCTATCGTCCGTTTATGTTACTTGGCGTTCAAAGCCTTTAGGGACCTCGCTTACCGGACTAAGCTTGGTACTGAGCCAGACAACAACGAAGCTACTGATGCCCAAATCGGTTATTTTTTTCTGAATTGAGACATCCGTGAATCGCAGTTGGTGTCTCTTGTTTCTACCCTTTTTATTTCGGGTCCATTTACTATTCATACACATACTTATATGTACTTGGTTAAACAGCGCGTTTGCCTGGAATCCGTTCGCAAAGACCGATAAAGTCAGCGCTAAGAACTCACCTGAAAAAAATAACATTTCTGCGTCAAATGGTGCAGACGAACCGGGAAAATCGCCAGAATCGACGATCCGGACCGAGGTACCGGACAAACAACATGAACCAGTCCTACCCGAACAGTTTCGCAAAGCGTACGACGCGTTGGATAAGGCGTTGGACGGTTTGAACAAGGGAGATTATGAAAATTCCATGCAGTGGGCTTGCAAGGCGGTAACCCTGTTCGAAGCAGTATGTTTTCACGTTTTAATCTTAGCTTTTACGTGTCATTTGTTTTTGTCTTCATTCTCGATACTGTTTGCCGACGATTGTAAACTCTCAAGATTGTTTCTTGTTATTGGATCATAGCCTGGGTGGACGCGTACAGTAACCAAAGTGACTTATTGGTTCCTCATTCCATTCGTTTCACCGGTGATTGTATTCACGAAACTAGACCAGGAACCAACAATTGGATTCTTTCCGCTGTCTCACCTCAAGTCTGCCTGATCACGATATTTTCTTTGATCCGTTTATGGATCCTCTGAGCATAATCGTTCACTAGACGCCTTTCACATGCACAATTCGTATCCATTCGATTGGTAAACTCGGTGTTATGTCACATTTCTCGACGCAGTTGTACTCCAATTATCCTCGGAACTCACTGTCTATTGTCATTACCCGTGACTCGCTTTTTACACTCACACTGTCCTCTAGCTCGTGACTCACACTTAGCGGTCACGCATCAGTTACTTGAAGTAACTCTTATCTAAACCATTCTGTCTTGTATGTTTTAGAGACGCAGCACACGTCTAAATTAGATGTTTCCAGCGTCCTAACTAAGGCAGCTTGTTGACCGATCTGCCAGTGTGTGCGGTCGTTGAGCGCAGATAAGTGAAAAATTGAATTTCGGTTTGGAAATTCCTGTAGCTTCTGAATGTTTAGCCTTACGGGTAAATCAGTGTGTGATATCCCATGGGTGTCGTAAACAAGAGGTATCACGTTCGATTTCGGAGTAAGAAGAACTAGACAGATAAGAGAGAGAAAGAGGGTTTACTGAATGGATACCTAAGACTCAAGGGCAGGAAATACTTCGCGGCATCCAACACCGACGCAGGTTTTCTTCTAACCCGAGCCTTTGACTCAAAAGTGTGACCCGCAAGACAGTGGGGCGTAAATCCAACGTCGTGACCAAAAAACCCGTGTGGGAAGTTCTCGAGACCCGTCACAGAAGGTCTTCGAGGTCCGGTTCANTGCGTTGATTGTCGGTCCGCTGTTCGGGATTTGCCCTTAGTCTCACGCACACAATGAAGCAATCGGAATGCGAATGGGGAAGGCACCTTATTGGCTGGAGGTTGCCCAACTTGGGCGGACGGTAGTTAGCTGTGGAATAGAGTGCGGAAACTTCTCCCATCTTTGAGAGGAAGCCCCAAGTATCTCGCTCCTATGCCTATCTAGCGGGGTGTTTTTGACCGATAAGCTGCTCTTCACCGTGTTCATTTGCTGGAGTGACCTTTCCAGGGGTGAGCGTAGATAGTCAAAGGAAACGAGGAGGTGCCCAAGCAGCTGACTTTGTGAGACTGATCTCCGTCTGGCCTCTGTCCATTGACCTTTCAGGGATGATTGGATCTGCGGTTTAACTCGCAGGGTCATGGAGACACGCAAGCCATCACTTCATGTTGAGGTGCAGTTTCGTGGTGATGGCAGGAACATATCGACCATGAATAAGAAACACTTATGAAACTGGGAAGATCCACTCTGCTAGGTTTACTTTGTATATAAATGTTGATGGTCATAGGTTGTGGGATTTGTCACCCGCAGTTCAGGCAGAGGTTAGACTCAAATGCAAAACCCGTTTCAAATATTGCTTTCCGATGACCGGGTTCATCTTTTGGGTGTAGGATTTCAACTTGTTGGCCACGAATCACAATTCTAATAAGGATTTTGTGTTCCGTTTTTTATTGTTATTCTATCCATTCTTCTCGTTGGTCATTAAATGGATAACTTCCTTTAGTTATTCGAGTTTTCTTTGTTCTAGACTCATCTCAGTGAAATGACTTTGAGATTAACTCCTTCATTTTTGCTTTTTATGACAAGAATTAATGCATCCTTATGATTATCCTTCTTTCACCGATGCACTGCACTGCGTGAATTTCATGATTCATTTGTTAGTTCGTTCCGTGACTAATGGGTCATATCCTTTCACCTGTGAATCATTTTCATCAGGCTCTGGCAAATCCTGTTGCCATGGACTCTGGCAAACCAATGGCTGATGGGGACGAAGTGAAAGAAAACGGCGGCAATTCTGCGGTTCCCGCTCCCGCAACCTCGGAAGAAAATCCAGCTGGTTCTCCCGAGATTCCGTTGGTAAACGGCCACACAGACAAAGGTGCTGCGGACGAAGCGAATCTCACAGTCTCTGCGATTGCAAATGCATCTGATGTGGATACATCAACAACTCCGACCACAGAGCCGGATGTTGAGTCCATAAACGCGGAGCAGTTACGACTAGCCCGGGCAAATTACTGTCGAGCACTGTTGTTAAATGCAACCTATCTGGCTCTGGCTGGTCGGGCTGCGGACGCGCGTCGTCTATTTCAGATCATTACTGCAGAAGACTCGGGTGCTGAAACCATTGTACGCGTAAACGCACTGATCAAATCCGCTTGCTTGTCCATGTCAGTGGACCAGGTAAGTGAGCTTTGTGTGCTGGCAATTGGTACATATTATTATGATACAATTTTCCCATTTTCATTCTTTTACTACTCCTCCAACCGAAGAAGTAACCTAACTTCTTTTAGCATTATTGTTAACTCGTAAGATTAATTGCTGCGAAGATTAGAATCGTCATGGACAATCGCTTGCATGTGCATTAGCGCGAATTTTTATTGTAAAACTTTGAGCGGTCAACACGAGTGACCAACACATTCGACAAATGTCGGACAGTCGAGTGATATGTCAGATTTGTAACCCTTCCTAAACTTGATCGTGATCATGCAGTGAGGTGCACTGCTGGAGAAGAAACATGGTTCCATCACGACAGCAATGTGAACAGAAAGGGAAACAGGTTGCATATAAGAAGAGTGACAAGATCGACCATGTTTTTCTGTTTGCTTCACCGCAACTGTTGAGGGAGACGCGATGAACCAGGGCGGTGTTCACCCTTGTCTTGTCGGTCCTCATGGCAATAGGCGTCGAAGGTTGTTGTAAGTTACTCTGGCTTCCCCTATCCTTAATATGACCTCCTCTTTTTCATAACACCTCAGTGTGATGAACAGCAGACAAGGTAAGCTCCTTGGTCATGAGGACCTGCTGTTTAGTGATGGAAACTGGTAACCTTAGCCCCGGGGACTTGGAGTGGTGAATCGCATAAGACCCCTCTTGTTTATGCGTGGTATTGAACCGGACAACAGTAAAGCTGCCTAACATCATCTTCAACTGTGATCACGCTCCCAAAGTACTTGAAGCTCTCAACTATCACCTTGAATGAGTGCGGCACAGGCTTCCATCAGGTTTGTACAATCACTTTGCATTGGGATAGCTCAGAGCATTTGCCTTGGGTAGATAACTGGATCTCCAAGTGGTTCAAAACATGCTGCACTCGCTGTGTATTTTCTCACGGGAATCGGTTTCATCTCAGATTCAGTTTGTACCACCATTAAACATACACTATCGTGCGCCGGTTTTGGTTGCTCTTTTGGCTGCCCATTTGGATGAACATTGGGAGAAAGACAGAAAAGTTTGAAAGTAGGATCAAAGAGAAAATTTCAGTGGATTAATTTCGCACATAAATTGACAAGATGCACGGAGGCCACTGTTTAGAACATTCAGCCATATCACTTAGTGTCTAACCATCGGTTACGATCATCCCCAAGTCCCCATCCAGGGAGCCTAACGAAACCTGTATGATCCAGACTCCTGGTTAGGGTTTTTATACCCTCATGCCCGGTCTTAGCTTGACCACCCATCTGAAAATCTAAGTTAAGAAATCTGTTTCATGAGAAGAATTCAGTTCCACCGTTTACTAGATTTGTCGCATTATTCTACAGACTATCAATAGGAAGAGGATTGGGATACAGAGTAACGCAGTTGCACTCTCCTGGAGACGGCAAAGTGTGACGAAAGCTAGCCATAGACACTAACTGAACCTGAAGTATGACGATACAACTCTTTGAGGATCGACGGGTGTTTCTCAAGCACACCATCTCGCAACAAACGGTTACATACTGTAGTTTTGTGGATGAAATTTGTTTACCACATAAGTCTGAGAACACGGTGTTCGCTAGTCTTTGAAAACGATTACGGTGCTCTGTTGAGGCTTGAGATTTGATCGATGCATGAACGACCCTCGCGTAACTCACCCTGGTCTTCGCATGCTTCGTACAATCTACGAAGAATAGAGGACTCCGAAACCTTTAACGCGATTGGAAGTAAGCTTCTATCTCTTTACTTGGCGCAATGTCTTCGTGGGCCTTTATTTGAGATGGAGGGGACATGCCGAGTGTTCCAGACCTTAGACAACAGAAGTTACTGCTCTCTAACAAGCCTTATTGCATTCTCTCCAAATTGAGCTGAGGAAGTCCTTCGGAGCTCGGACTTTCCATGGCTTTACTCGCCATAACGGATTTTCGCTTCAGAGGTTAGTCTGTCCAAATCTGCTCAGTAGGTCAGCAGAATCAGTTTACGGGATCAAATTGCCCATAGTTAGCCGTGAATTGGCTACCGTTCTCGTGACCACGATCGGATACGTGCTCCGTATCACACGGGAATGCTTTTCCGATCAAAGCAATAATAAAGCTGGCACGGTGATTTGAGTATAGGATTTCTCCATTCCGAAGGCATCTCTAAATGCCTTCCTTTTATATTCGAATTTTGTGATATTGTGTTCGTTCGGCTATCAATTTTTGTGTGATCATACTTCTGAACAGCTTTTACGCAACACATGTGACGTTGCTGCTCTAGGATACCCCCAGTGGTGTTTGTTTTCGTAAATGAGAAATTTCGCTCATTGTGTGGATTATTTTTCCCTATCGCATCATACATATATTATATATTGCAGAACTTTTTCCAACATGCAATCGCTTCCAATGTGGACCACTCGCTTATGCTAACTCCTTTTTGCCATTTCCCCATAGGATTTTGCCGCCTGCCTATACGATTTTCAGAACGCACAAAGTGCCTGCCCCGAGTGCCCAGATGTATACTTGCATCGAGGACAGATAAATTTACTGGCTGATCAGTTGGACGAGGCGTTACACGACCTGAATACCGCAGTCAAACTGAAGCCGGAGTTTTCAATTGCGCAGGTGAGTCTTTGCAAAATGGGGACAATTGTGGCTTGGCCTGTTCTCATCTGCATAATTCACATTAAAGATTCTGTGAATTCGTATTACTCGCGGAAGTGCTTCCTCGTTAACTGCCATTTTGCAATACATATAACGGATAGTTGATATTGTCATGGCATATGGTTGCACCAAGAAGAGAAAAAGGTGGTATTCATTCCACTGGATATAAACCTCCAAATTTTCCCCGTCCTTATTTGCTTTTGTGTTTAACTATTATATATGTATATATGGTTCAGGTCGCGTTAGTCTCCTTGGATGGGGACCTTGGGATCATTGTAGTCAATATTTTTGGACACTGATATGGCTGGGTGTCATAAACAGTAGCCTCCGCGCAACCCCTCAATTTCTTCGCAACCTTAGTCCACTGAAATTTTCCATTTTCTCTTCGATGAGGCAAATTTTATTTCCTCATTGCATATCTTGTTATTTTCCAACGTATAATCTATGGGAATCCCTAGCAGATAGCACACAGTGTTCTAACCAAAACCATCACCTTTGTTGTAGATCAGAATGTTATTCTTGGAGTTATTGAAAATAAACACTTGCCACACCAATGGTTCACTCTCTTACACGTTTAAACCTGTTTGACCGATACATGCACATGACGTTTTTCGGTACGGTACCATAAATGAGCTCGTTTCAACCTTGAGTTTTTTTCCTGAATACACGAACGTCGTTGATATAATTGAATAAATCCGTTGCGTTCAGTCGTCTACTTGGAATCATTTGAGATAGTGTCCTGTAATGGGGTGTCAGTTAACCGGCATTCGGTTCAATTGTTCTTGATATAGCGAGATCTAGTGGTTGAGTAGAGAAAAGGCTCATAGTGTGAGGTAAGTTGTTGTTGAGTTACTCCCGCACTTCGGAGGGTTGCAGTGGGCGGTCTCTGAGAGCCGCACAGAGCAGCAGACTACAGCGAGAGATTAACCTCCGTCGAATCCCTTCTGAAACGAAAACGAATCCTAGTTTAGATGATTGACAGATTTTTGTGTGACATGCACAGTGATCATTTCAGTCGTAATTATTAATAATAATATAAAACTTTAGTACCGTGTATCAGTTTTTATGCATTTTCAAAGAAAAGGAACTCGACGTTCTACGAAACACTTGCTTTAGCAAACTGATATCCGCTTTACACCTCTCTTTTGATTGGATGAGCTGGCTTTAGGAAGTGTCATGGGAATTTTGTACGCATGATTTGCCGATTACTGCTCAGTGTTTTATTCAAGCAAGTGCTTTTTGCTTTTAGACAACCATATATGAAAGTACAGAAAGTAGTTGGAGTTGTTACATTGATGTGCTTGGATTCATATCACGTTCCTTTTCATCGGATCAATAATATGATTTCTTGCACTCAGTCCACTGGAAGCGTTTCACTTGCATGGATGAAGTTGCTACCCAGCATGTTCCGAAGCAACCGGTTATCCTCACGATTCAGTTAATTTGCCAAGCAGTTACCTGAGTTTCGTTGTTTTCCGTCCAAGAAACTAGCTGGAGCCAAAAGTGAGTCGGGTGACTGCCATGGACCAAATGAAACTAACCGTCCTATGGGAGCATAGCAAATTTATTACCCAGAGATGAAATCACTACCGGGAACCCCTAATTTGTGATCATCTTATGGGTTATCTTTTCGATCAGCCACACGGCGATATATGCGGTAATATTTTTCGATTGCCTGCTTACAATTCAGAAAAGTACTCCGATAGTAGAACAAAAACAAATATGCTGAACTAATAGATGCACCTAGCATGACACGATACGAGCTTGTCTTATGTCGGTGATGGTTAGATTAATAAGCAAAAATGTCCCATTTCAAACCACTGTGTCCCGTCAACAGTCGGATGCAACAAAGTACCCTACCGGGACCAGATACCAGCAGTTCTTTTTCTCTTCTCATATTAAACTACGCAGATCAGTCTCGTGTTCGATATGCATGATATAAATGGTTCTTTATCAGTTCACCTTTAGTCTACATCATTCCTATCTTTGTTTTCTCTTCTTTTTCTTTCTTATCACCGCAATAGGCTCAGAGACTGTACACACTGTACCGGCGCGCATTAAACGAATCAAATCCGGATCGTGCCACTGCTCGTGTTGAAGATTTCCGCAAATTGTCTCAGAAATATCCAAACTGTTTGGAAACACATTCCCTATTCGCTCAGGTATGTGCACGTGCCCTTTGTCACAATCCTTACGAACACCGAGTGTTTTCCAATCTGTCTTCATGTGGGCTTGGTTCTCTTCAATCAACCAGCAGGATAGCACGCTGTCACTGCTTTCCAACCACAGTTCTTGCATGCTGTAAAACTAGACTTTATGTTGTTTTTAACCAACCCAGTTAGCACCATGACCACCAACGAATAAATTCGAACTAGTCTCCAGTTGATTGTTTATATTTTCCTATTAACACACACATTGTTCACC